CTGGGGTGGTGTTGACATGTGGGGGATGGGGTGGTGCTGACAGGTGGGGGCTGGGGTGGTGTTGACAGGTGGGGCTGGGGTGGTGTTGACATGTGGGGGATGGGGTGGTGCTGGACAGGTGGGGGCTGGGGTGGGGGTGGGGTGGGTGCTGGCTGGTGGGGCTGGGGGGGTTCTGGGGTGGGTGCTGGCAGGTGGGGGCTGGGTGGGGGCTGGGGTGGGTGCTGGCTTGGTGGGGGCTGGGGTGGGTTCTGGGGTGGGTGCTGGCAGGTGGGGGCTTGGGTGGGGGCTGGGGTGGGTGCTGGCAGGTGGGGGCTTTGGTGGGGGCTGGGGTGGGTTCTGGCAGGTGGGGGCTTTGGTGGGGGCTGGGGTGGGTTCTGGCAGGTGGGGGCTTGGGTGGTGGCTTGGGTGGGTGCTGGCTTGTGGGGGCTGGGGTGGGGGCTGGGGTGGGTGTCTGGCATATGGGGGCTGGGGTGGGGGCTGGGGTGGGTGCTGGCAAGTGGGGGCTGGGGTGGGTGCTGGCAGGTGGGTGCTGAGGTGGGGGCTTGGGTGGGTGCTGGCTGGTGGGGGCTGGGGTGGGGGCTGGGGTGGGTGCTGGCAGGTGGGTGCTGAGGTGGGGGCTTGGGTGGGTGCTGGTGGTGGGGGCTTGGGTGGGGGCTGGTGTGGGGGGCTCGGGTGGGGGCTGGGTGGGTGCTGGCAGGTGGGGGCTGGGGTGGGTGTGGCACGGTGGGTGCTGAGGTGGGGGCTTGGGTGTGGTGCGGCGGTGGGGCTGGGTGGGGGCTGGGGTGGGTGCTGGCTGTGGGGCTGGGGTGGCGGTGCTGGCAGGTGGGGGCTTGGGTGGGTGCTGGCAGGTGGGTGCTGAGGTGGGGGGCTTGGGTGGGTGCTGGCTGGTGGGGGCTGGGGTGGGGGCTGGGGTGGGTGCTGGCAGGTGGGGGCTGGGGTGGGTGTGGCAGGTGGGTCTGAGGTGGGGCTTGGGTGGGTGCTGGTGGGCTGGGGTGGGGGCTGGGGTGGGGGCTGGGGTGGGTTCTGGGGTGTGGTGCTGGCAGGTTGGTGCTTGGGTGGGTTCTGGGGTGGGTGCTGGCAGGTGGGGGCTTGGGTTGGGGCTTGGGTGGGGGCTAGGGTGGGTGCTGGCAGCAGCCTCAGTTTGTCCTGCACCAGCGATGTAAACACATCAAGATGACGCTGGACGACCCCAGTCCTCACTCTTTCTTCAGTAAGAGTGTCCTGCAGCTGGCCAGGACTCTCGCCAAGATCCATCCTACCCCCCATGAGCAGGTCAGCCTCTATAAGTCTTCTGTTTGTGCTATAATGACGACTGAGGGTGGTAAACCTGGGTGTTAGTGATGGGTGGGGACACCCCCAACTGCCTGCAGAGATGTTTATTTGCATCGGATTTCCCTGTAATATTTCGGATTAATTGCATGTACATATATGTCAATATCTTTAATTACACGGAAAAGCTGATGTACGTATCTACCCGTACGGGTGAAATATATTTTACGAATATGTTTTTTGTGTGTATACGCTGCTAATGATTTAAAGACCCTAATGGAAATGTAACTTTGGCAATGTTTTGGTTACTCTGAGGTAATTTATTCAAATGTACTAAATACGACAATGATAACCATACAAGAATTGTGAAAATTTTATTGAAATAAACTTACCTCTGCCTGTTGGTTATAAATTGATTTTATATAAAATATTTTATTGTTCGTTCTCTGTTGGGAAGTTCATTTTGATGTGTCTTATAGATTACTTCTATTCTTCAGGGTATTCTCTCATAAAAAAACATTGCAAAATCAAAAAATTACAAATCATCCAGAATAAAATGGTCATATTTTCCTGGCCTTGAGTCTAAGAGAATATGTAAGCCAGGATGAACTTCCAAAACTGAATGATAAAGTAAAGAAACTCAAACTTTACTATGTATATGAAATTGCTAGTAGCCAGTGTCCAGAATATGTTGCTACAAACTTTTTAGAGATATTGAACAAAAACTGATATTGAGTCGCTGTTTACAATAGCTGCTTAGTGGAACTCCTCCATATATTTACTTTTTTTTATCATACAAGCAATATATCCAAACCAAGCCATAAATTTTTGTTTCTCATACAAATACTTCTATGAGAGGAAGGTTTTATGTGGCATATAATGTGATAAGATTTTGTTCATATTTTTAACCCCAGAGGGTTAGCCACCCAGTATAACCCAAGAAAAGCAGTGTATCATTGAAGGACTGTCCGTCTTATTTCCACTGGGGCCCTCAATCTTGTCCCCCAGGATGCAACCCACACCAATCGACTAACACCCAGGTACCTACTTGCTTGCTAGGTGAAAGGAGCAGTAGGTGTAAAGAAACACGCACAGTGTTTCCACCCTTGCCGGGGATTGAACCACAGACATTAGGCGTGGGAAGTGAGAACATTACCTACCAGGCCACGGGCCACTGTAACTTCAGCGCCGGCATTCAGACCAGCCTTTCTGGTAATATTCTGTTTATAAAGAACATAAAGTTGTACTAATGCTTGCTTTCTTTAAATTATGTGAATTTTCATTGTATGACATGATTACATAAAGATAAGATAAAGATAAAGGTTTATTTCTTTGTAAAGGTTACAGTGTGTAATTAATATTTTGGTTTGCTAATTACAAAGAAAGTCACTATCATGCCAGGGCATTTCAGGCAGACTAATCCTAATACATAGTAACTACTTAAAACTAGACAGATAATAGTACATAGTAACTACTTAAAACTAGACAAGATAGTAGTGGTTAACTGTATTACAATTTTATTTAATCTTAATACTAATGCGAGGTAGTCAAGGTGGAGGTTTTTAAGAATAATAATGAAATTAAGACGTGTGCAACATCTGGGTATCTTTATTGTAGAAGTTTTGCCATCCAGTGGCTTTATCAATACAAATTCTAGAATTTGTATTGATAAAGCCACTGGATGGCGAAACGTCTACAATAAAGATACCCAGATGTTGCAAGTGTCTTAATTTCATCTTGTCGGTATTATATACCATTCTTGTATAAGAATAATAATACTGAAGTTGCACATAATAAAATCAGTACAGTGGACCCTTGACCAACGATGGCATTGTCTAACAATGTGTTTGAGCATAAAAATTTTGTCCCGACCAACAATGAAAAACTCGACTAACAACACTCGTCCCGAACGCATCCACGTATCCGTCTGGCCTGAGCGCACCTCAGCTGCCCTGCCTTCAGTTAGTGTGCCATTGTTTACAAGCCAGTGCAGTCAGTTCCATGCATACATTCGATACATTTTGTATTATTCCAGTGTTTTTAGTGCTTGTAACTGCTAAATAAGCCACCGTGAGGGCAAAGAAAGCTTCTAGTGCCAACCCTGTGGTAAAAAGGGCGAGAATTACAATTGAATTGAAGAAGGAGATAATTACCAAGTATGAAAGTGGAATACGTGCCTCCGAGCTGGCCAGGTTGTATAACAAACCTCAATCAACCATCGCTACTATTTTGGCCAACAGAAAGGCAGTCAAGGAAGCTGTTGCTGCGAAAGATGCAAGAAGGTTTTTGAAACAGAGCTCACAAATACTCGAAGATGTTGAGAGACTGTTGTTGTTGTGAATAAACAAAAAACAAATATCAGGAGGTAGTATTTCTCAATCAATCACATGTGAAAAGGCAAGGCAGTTGCATGACGATTTAATTAAAAAAATGCCTGCAACTAGTGGTGATGTTATTGAATTTTAGGCTAGCAAAGGTTGGTTTGAGAGATTTAAGAATTGTAGTGGCATACACAGTGTGGTAAGGCATGGAGAGACTGCCAGTTTGGACACAAAAGCAGCTGAAAAATATGTGCAGGAATTCAAGGAGTACATAGACACTGAAAAATTAAAACCCCAACAAGTGTTTAATTGTGACAAAACAGGCCTGTTTTGGAAGAAAATGCTAAACAGGACCTACATTACACAGGAGGAAAAAGCACTGCCAGGACACAAGCCTATGAAAGACAGGCTAATGTTTTGTAGTAATGCTAGTGGGGATTGCAAAGTGAAGCCTCCACTGTTTTAATAATCTTCCTGGCCTGCTAATGTACCTTGCATATAATCTAGTGATACCAGTGAATAGCAGAATACAGTGTTGTAGTCAGGGCCGGATTAAGAAGTCTCTGGGCCCTAGGCTATTCAGATTGGCGGGGCCCCTTTGAGTTACGGGTAAGCAAAGCGACACCTTCCAGCTTGGGGGTGGGGGGGGGTTCGGTGTGAGCCTGTTTAAGGTCTAATTAAATACATTCTGGCTATTTAGATTAAATTTAATAGGGAAAGTACATCAAGACAACCAAAACCATTTACCAACAACCATTATAACTATCTTGTTAAATCATGCATTTTAAAGAGAATAAACTCAAGACAGCATAGTATTACTAGATTAGGCTATTAAAGTAGTGACATCGTGTACCTATTATATTCAGCATAACCACTACAGCACTATTATTCCCTTTATAAATCACTGACCATTATTGTTATCATTGCATCATGCATAAGACTATCAAATCATATAAGCTCAAGAAAGTAAAGAATTGTTTATATTCACAGGCACTTCTTAAATAAACTTTTTTCTGGATTTCATATTGGCAAAATCATCAATTATATTCTGAAAATTAATATTTCTTGTTAGATCAGACTCAATGGTCAACAAGGCTAGGTTACACAATTTGTCTTGGCTCATTGTTGAACGGAGCTGGTTTTTCACTCTTTTCAAAACAGAAAATGAACGTTCTCCTTCACAGTTAGTAGCTGGAAGTGTTAGGTAAAGGTGATACACTATGTCAACATTAGGGAAGGTTTCTGAGATACCTGCATTTCTTAAATGTTTCAAAGCAGCTGAGGGCGCACATTTTTCAGGTGGAGCTTAAATCTGATTCATATACCAGAAAAATGAACTATTTCTTCAACAAATGTGTCCTGAACATCTGCTGAAAGGTGTTGTTGCAACTTTAATGCAGCTTCTCTCAATTCTGCATCTGGCATAGTAGTAATTTTGAACAGAAATCCAAACTTGTCATTGAGATTCTGGTAGATTTCTTTTCTTTCCACCAATTCTGTAATCAGTGAATCCAGAATGATGAAGTATGTAGCTGTCTTACATTTCTGCCTTGGTAGCAACACAATTTCATTGTCTGGCTCTTCAAAATTGCGTTTCCTCTTCCTTGACCGCTGATGATCAGCCCGGTAACTGTAGTCTTTCACCAGCAGTTTAGCTTTCTCTTCAAACATTTCAAAAGCTTCATCATTGCGAAGTGAGCTTACAAATTCCACTAAGCCTGCATAGAGGTTAACACAAGTAGCCATTTCAATTTCAATTTTCTGAAGTGTCTTGTTCGTGGCATTTAACTGTTCCAGTATACAGTCCCAAAGCACACAGAGTAAGGCCAATTCAAAATCTTCCAATTTTGATGCTAAGCTGGCTGCTTCGCTTCTTGTAGTTGCTGTCTGGTCTTCATCCTCTGCTATTTGGATCAAAGCAGAACGCATTTCAGCAAAGCTGTCTTTCAAAGCATGTGTTGCATCATGCTGCGCTGGCCACCTTGTTGTTGATAATGATTTGATGACATCTCCATGAATGGTTGACTTGAGTATACTCCACCGATGCGTTGAAGCAGAGAAAAAATTAAAGAGTGCTTGGTAAAAGTCCAAAAAATGAAAACTGCAGCGACACAACACTCCGCAGCACATGACCCAACAAGATTAAGAGAATGTGCTGAGCAGGGCACATATTCAGCAAGTGGGTTGATTTGCTTGATACGGGCTTGCAATCCATTATATTTACCCGGCATGTTACTTGCATTGTCGTAGCTCTGGCCACGGCAATCCATAATAGAGAGATCATGTTCAAGCAGAGTATCCAGTACTACATTCATCATTGTTTCTCCATCATGGCCTGAAAGAGGAATGAATTTTATAAAGCACTCTACAGGCTTACCACTGGAGTCGACAAAGCGAACAATGAATGTCAATTGATCTGTATGTGAAATATCTGGTGTTGAATCTACACTTATTGCAAAGTATTTTGCAGTTTTCACAGCTGCTATGATGTTATTGAGGACCTTCTTAGTCATCAGTTCAATAAATTCATTGCATATAGTAGATGACATGTAAGATACAGTGCCTCTTCCTGCATTCCCAAGGCGTGACACATGATTTGCTAAGAATGGATCGAATTGTGCTAACAGTTCTATGATCCCTAGGAAATTGCCATTGTTTTCCGAACCAAAAACCTCATTTTCT